GTCGAATTGCTGCAACCGGGAAAATAATATACAGGGAATAGTCTAGACGGAGAAACCTTGAACGGATGTTTGAATCTACACGGAAATATTTCGAACAAGATCAAAAAATATATCGATCGTGTTGCGTTACAAGTTCAGGTGAAAGCGTCTAGGATACGATCAACCGTCATTAAGAAACTGTTCGGTGAAATGTCTCAAGCCCGAGATAGTCTCATTGTTTCTAGCCTAACACCTGCGTCCATTAAATTCGTTGTTATCAATTTTTTAATTCCACGTCTGGTCATAACAATAGCTTTACAAGTATAACAAATTCACAATTGAAACATTAGATTGAATAATTAGCTTTTCGAATTACTAGATAAAGTTTTTAAATTAGAAACTTGTGATGATAATGAATCGTTCAATGATGATTTATATTTTCCCGTAGAATCCCATAAAAATCGATAGATTTAACAAATCTTGTGTTTTCAGTAAAGAACATTCATTTGTTACGCCCTGTATGATGAAACTTGGGTCACGTATGACCCGAAATTGGAAATTTTCTTTAAGACGATAATACTTCGCGTATTTCTTACCAGCTTTTATTTTCATAACAAGTAAAATCTAGGTAAACTTCAAACCGTTTCGGATATGGTTTATGATAGATCAAAATTGATCCAATTCTGTCTACCTTTTGTTAATGACCGACTATTGAAGCGAAACAAGTGTTCAATTAAAGAAACATTCACTGTTCCCCGAATCTATACGATGTTCAAATTTGAATGCCACAAATTTCGATTGAATATTTTCGAAAGCACTGGAAGGAGAATTATTGTTAATTCGACACCCACGTGTGTTCTCTTGTCCATTGTCTTCTGGGTGCTGATCTCCACTGGATACCTGTGTTTTCCGTGTCCGCTGCGCTCCGGGAACTAATGGACGCAATCCTGGCAAGCCTTATAAACGGAAGCATAATCAGTGAACGGTACAGGAACGAGCAGAATATTTCCTGCGTGCACCCCACCCAACCACCCCTTTCTCTCTCACCTGAGATTACATGAGAATTTCACGTGCACCGTTCTATCATTGTCGTAGCCACCAGACGGTGTTCACCGAGAAAGACGCGATCCCTTCCTACGGGAATTCGGACCACCTTTATGGGTAGACTACCGTAGAAGGAAAATTCTTAATTGACGGATTAAAAACGAACGGCCATTTTGGCCCTTATTTGGAGAGAAAGGATCATCGGTTCTTCTGGTGTTTCGAAGATAGCTCGGATCGTGAAAGTTGCAAAATCTGATTATCAAAGTGATTATAATACTTTATTAATATAAATAGTATAAATAGCATAACCATTGCAATTTAATTAGTTAGTTTATTAATCTAGAGTGGTTATTTGTCACAATTTGTGTCAGATTAAAAGATGCAACAGGGAAATCTTTGTTAAAAAAGGATTGGATTTCCTGGAATCTAGGTAATTTAAATTTATGGCCTCTGATATCAAGGTAAGCTATGATTACTCTAATTTACGATCGATATTTGTTACAACATTCAAGTTGTAAATTATTGAACGGTTGGGTGTCCATAATAGTTAACTTGTGTCTTTATAGAAAGTATATAAATGAGAAGAATTATAGTTCTTGGTTCCATACGAATGTTATCATCAATCAGGCTAATATTTATTAGGAATTACACATTTTACGGTGCCTCGCATCACCACCGTTTCGACCGTAATTGAACATCTTGTTTATTCTAAGCGCGGTACTGAAACACCCAGCTACTTGACAGTTTTATTACCGACATTACTCTGGCGGTTTGTTACTTCGAAAGCCTTCCTCTCACGAATTCCCGTATAATTATGCTATTGTCCTTCATAGTTCTCTCCACCGACATTTTCTTTGTGGCCATTGAAGATATTTTTTTAATTCTTTGGGTATGGTAATGAAGTATATGGCTTAAGTTGCTCTCTATATGGCGTTACCATTTTCGCTGGAGAAGTGGTGAAAACGCCCCTTCGAGAATCTTCAATCCCTTTGAAACTAATACTCGCTTTCTCCACCTCCTATTACTGTAATGAGAGCGTTAATATTTATCGATACGTCGAATAGTATTTCAAACATTCATACGTGAAGAATGCTGTCACTAAATGGTACTTTATCAATTTATCACACAGGTAGAATTTAAAACTTTGTATTTTTAACACTTACATGTACTGGAATCTTACTATAAATATGAGAATAATTTTTTATAGGGTAATCTATGGTGTTTTTCAGTGAAAAGATAGAGGAATGATCAATTTTACCATTTAGATAGACCGATTTACCGAAATTTCGAGTTCGCTGCTACGCCTATGGGGCGAAGAAAGTAAACGGAGAAGTACTTACATTTTTTTTTTCGCAAATGAATGTAACTCCCACTACCGTGGTAACTACGTGTTACACTTTTTTCCTGATATTTGTAGTATTAAGAGATTATGTAAATTTTCATCAAAGTGAAAACTATGGAGGATATTTATTTTACATAGATTACTTTTCAAATGATACTTTCAATTATTATTTACTATTATTGTTAAATACAGTAATATTCTGAACGTTTATGTCCAATTTGTAGCACTTGGAAAATTACAAGTATGCAATTATCATAAGAATGAACATAGCTAGTTAGTTGAACTACTTAATTGTAACAAATATTGCTAACTTTACAAAAATGATTACGTTACAATAGTGACATAATGTGTTAATCAGCGTGACAAATTAATTAGTCTTTATTATCTTCACGGACGTTTAATTGAAAGTACATTATTGTCTAATTTTATAAAAACGATTAATTACGACTTCAAGGAACGTAGAATGCTGAGTATGCAGTCTTTGTTGCAATACGACGTAGAAAGTTCAATTTTCTTTTCAATACGCTGTAAATCCAATTAGTATAATTGGTTTATCCTTAAATTTCCGACAGAGCGCAGACTCCTAATGCGTTAACGGTATCCGATTTTTATTAAACTTTCGCTACTTTTTCATGCAAACTTACGATCGTTTTCCGACAAGCAATGATACATACTATCAATTCACCTAACATCACAAGAGTATTCGCGATTTCATGAAGATCCATCCACAATTTTCTACTTTCGAATCTTCCATCGCGTTACGCTCAAGGTATTTTGGTTTTCCACATTCTGGATAATTAAATATATACAAAAATACAGATAACAGTTATTAACGGAATTTAAAATTCTGCTCCATTTGAAGTTTAAGAAATTAGTCGTTTCCTCCAGTTGTTACACAAACAACCAATCTCGAGCGGTTGGAATGAGAAAACCTCGAGCATCAGTGATCATGGATCAAGGGCAACATCCGTGTTGGCGACGATCCACCGTGTGTAGTGGCACAGGAGTGAAATCGTCCTCCTCCATGACATCTGCTCTCTTTCACTTTCCGCTTACTTTCCATTTCACACTAATCTCCGCTCGGCGAGCACGAGCGCGCGTGCAACTATCGTCGCAGGAGTAAATGCTTCTATTACGGCGGACCCTTACGACGTGATCGGAATGACCATGACTTTATTAATTGCTTCCTACGATAATTAATTACCCGCGACATGGAAGATACGGTCAGATCGAGCAGAAAAAGAGATTTCTCCATAAATGTTTTATTCGAGACAAATCGTGGAACATCGAGTATCGAGGAGTGCAATGACTGAAGAATTAAATCCGCTCAGATTTTGGGGAAGAACAGTGAATTGTTAATACGAATCTGGACGTCGATTTATGATAAACAATATCTGTGTAGGGTAAAAATTCCTGAGCACTATCTTGAGAATGTTACATTTACGGTATTCAGTTTTGAAATTTGATCGCGATGATTTTTAATTATTTCAGCTCTAGCGTTATTATATTCATTCGTGACGATTTGTTACTGCCTTCTGCATTTTAATTTATGGATAGTGGGTAACTGTGCACTTGGATTTTGCACGAAGCCGAACCTCTGTTTAGTTTCTGTTTACTCCGTTTTTATTGGTCCCAGAGAGGGAGTCCCCAGTGGTAGGAATAACGCCATTGTTAGTGTCGCATTCATCGAGGAATACACTGTATATTGACAAATTTTGAAAAATATTATATACGTAGATCTGTTGAGCATGGAATAATAAATACTAAATACCATTAAATTCGTTTATGGGAAACTTCATGATTAAACTAATGAATTTCTATTTTCAAAATCGTTCGAACGATAAGGAACAATCGGAAAGGCGTCGCTTAAAAAACGTACAAAACGATTTATTTAAACATAACGTAGAGCAGCAGTATTTACATAGCATAATAGTATGTACAAAACGCAACAAGTGCAGCGAGCAAACAATCAGGTATGTCGCAATCGCGAGAAGTAATTAAAACAACTGAAACGGCGCGCAAGTCTGTACGGCCTAGGTATTTCGCGAACCATCGACCTTAAATACCAACTAATCAACAATTTTCGAAAATTACGATCTAAATCGAACACACATAAACGGAACAGTATACAAAAATTCGTCTTCATTTCGAACAAATATCTTCAATAATCACGCAATTATATCTGTCAGTTCGTTGGAAAACGTGGAAAAATGGTGCTTTCAGAATTCACTAGAAAAAGAATAACAAGGACGTTCAACTTGATAAATGAAAACTATCGGTATTCCCCGGTAGCGTCTATATGCTCGTTTTCCTCCAGCAAGTCCATTAAGCCCGGAATTTCATTTCCAACGGATGGAAAATGATTAGTCGTTCACGTCGGACGAATCGTGTAAAAATACGAAAGAGAAAATCATCGCGAAGTGTGTCGAGCCGGGGCGAAAATCAACGGGAAATCGGGGACCGTTCGTCGAGAATCGGTGCCTTTGTTCTGCTTATAACTGGCAGTGCTGTTGAATCGCGATCGAAAGTCACGTGGCGTCGGTGATCGCGTGATTCGAACGTGACTGGATGATCGACAGTCGGAAGTCGGTCAAACCGTCGTGTCGGAGACAAGGTATCGGTCCCCCGAACGATTTTATTTCTTCTTGTGGTAGCCTGAGAAGCCGCCGCCACCGCCGCCACCACCTCCATGACCGCTCGAATACGAATCGTAGCCTCCTCCGCCGCCGCCACCATGGCCGCTGAAATAAATATTCTACGTCAGTTTCGTTTTTGTTTTATTGGAACGTTGCGAGCAACCGTTGTGAAAGTATATTAATTGGCGAAATTTGTACCCCGGTGACCTACTACTGCATTCGATCATTAAACGTGTTTCGATAACACGGAAGACATTTTTTTCGCGTACCTTCGGTGTGGTCTTCCGAGACCACCATTAAATTGTGGATGAATTTAAATATTTTAATTTAATTACATGTTGCTGAATCAAAATTGGCAGAATTTTATGAATAGAGGAGTACGCTACCTGCTACCGAATCCTGACGATATGCTGTTACCACCATAGCCACTGGATCCCAACGAATGATGATCACCACCGCCGCCAAAACCTCCTCCATGACCACTTCCACCTCCGTATCCTCCTCCGTGGCCACCTCCACCTCCGAATCCTCCTCCGTGGCCACCTCCGCCTCCAAATCCACTACCGTGGCTAACGACAAATCCACCACCACCTCCTCCGAAACCTCCGCCACCGTGATGGTCGTCTAAACCACCACCGCCTCCGTATCCACCTCCTCCACCTCCTCCGAAACCTCCGCCGCCGTGGTGTTCATCGAAGCCTCCGCCGCCGCCACCTCCGTATCCACCTCCTCCTCCGAAACCTCCGCCACCGTGATGATCATCGAGGCCACCGCCACCTCCGTATCCACCACCTCCTCCTCCGAAACCTCCTCCACCGTGGTGTTCATCGAAACCTCCGCCGCCACCACCGCCGTAACCACCTCCTCCTCCGAAGCCTCCACCACCGTGATGATCGTCGAGGCCTCCACCTCCTCCGAATCCACCGCCGTGACCTCCTCCGAATCCACCTCCATGTCCTCCACCTCCACCCCCATGTCCTCCTCCACCACCTCCTCCGAAACCTCCGCCACCGTGATGATCATCAAATCCACCGCCACCACCTCCATAACCACCACCTCCTCCGAAACCTCCTCCGCCGCCGTGGTGTTCGTCGAATCCTCCGCCCCCAACTCCGGGACTGGTTATGATGATGTCTCCGTGGCCACCTAAAATAGATCCATCATTACTATGTTTAAAAAAGAAGAGTGTTTTTCTTGGTCTTTCTATATTTTTTATAAAAACTAAAAATCCTTTGTAGTAGATGCTCAGTTTTTAGATTCTTCAAAAAATTCCAGATCACTTGAAGATGCATATTGTGACTTCAGTGATCTTGGTCTCCCTCTGTTTTCTATAAAAACTGGAAGTCCATTGCAATAGGTTCCCAGGTTTTATATTTTTGCAAAAGTTTCTGATCAATTGAAGATATATATTCTGACTTCAGAGTTCGTTCACTTTACAGGTATCTTAGGAACGTGTTTGTTTTGTATTTTTTTTCATATTTCAAATTAATCATTTCTAAACAAAAGTTTCTGTATAAATGTGTAATTAAAGTTTGTAGGATGGAATTTGAAAGAGAATTAGGGATCCACTATGTACATCACACCAAGGTAGTAAAAGTAAAACAAACTATGTACGTGTGAATTTGCAAAGCAACTGGCCCGACCTACAATCCTATCGTGGTGAAAATGCAAGATTGCGAACAAAATAACTGTGGATGCGACTGCAGCACGAATTCTTGCCATCGAATCAAGCCGGAAGTGAAAACCCACGAAACGAGTTCCACGGGTTGAAACGGTATTCGTGTGACGCGAGAAGAAACAGTGAACGTATTTTTTGCAAATAGCCAAGGTATCGTCGAAAGAGAACGTGAGAATGGATTTTACACATTATCTTCAACGAAGTTGTGAAATTGAGATTACGTTCCCTATGAATCACTAGAATCTTCATTATCTTTATTAGCGACATTGTCAAAAAGTTGTATACTTTATGCCACGTTTATTACTTCACAATAGCATAAGCATAGCCCATCGAGCTTTAATATCCCCTAAGCAATATTTCTTTTCTACTTTCAGCTATTTCGTAATACCTTCTAGCATTTACTGCATATTCGATAAGTGTCCTAATATTAATTACCGGGAATGTAAGTACTACAATTTTTGTTGTGCGAGTGACATGCCATCTAGATGGAAAAATGTAACCGGAAGCACTGGTATTATAAGTTATTCATCAGAAAAAATGTTAGAATCCCCGTGAGAAAAATTGTAATTGACTCTTACCTCCACCACCTCCGTGGCCACCTCCTCCACCATGACCACCGCCGCCAAAACCGATGTCGTGTCCTCCACCAAAACCACTTCCTCCAAAACCTCCGCCATGGCCACCTCCAAATCCTCCACCATGACCACCACCGAAACCTCCTCCAAATCCACCGCCGTGACCTCCACCTCCTCCTCCTCCAGGGCCACTGACTATAACGTGATGTCCACCACCACCTCCACCGCCTCCGTGGTCATCGTGTTCTTCGTACTTTATGATTTTCTTCTCATCGTGCTGAACTATCTCTGGCACATGGATTCTTATGTGTACACTAGAAAGTTGATAAATACGGTGATATATGAAGGAAATTATTGTAAAGAGATTTTCATGATCCTTGCGAGCAAAGATTGATCGTAATTATGGATAAGATTAATGTACTTACTGTTCGTGACCGAACGTGGCGAACGCAGTGACCAATGTCGTCGCGAAGATGAAGCATCTTACCTGAAGACAGAGAATTTCTTGCTCGGTAATGTTCTTCTTTATTTCTTATTTTTCTAATGTAAACACTGTATTCAGTGTTATGGAACAGGTTACCTTAAAACCGCAGAGCTCATTGGCTCGTAGTTATACCTGATTATTCAATCCCAAGCATTAAACCATTATCATTGTATCTCGATAAAAAGTCCAAGTATCGCATTACTTGCATTATAAACGTTTAAGTCAATTAAATTGCTATAATAATTATGACAGTGTAATAAAACTACTAGCACAGTGTAAATTATTTCGTACACACGACTCTTAATTCTACCATTGATTAGCACTGTTTCTTAGTCGTCTGCCCTAGCATCCGGAATCCAATCCTCACCTTATCATCAACAAATAACCCACGTAATCCCCATTCAAAAGCAAATAAATGTACAATGAATTCTTATTTTTCAAATTACCTCTATACAAATATGAACCGTCGTACTCATTCACAGTCTCCAAACAAGAATCTCGCCTATAAATCCATCACCCGATCATCACAAATACATCTCCCCTCACTCAACCAACAATCTCCCCAAAAACATCACAGACATAATTCTCAACCAAAAAAATCCAATCGTCCCCATCACAAAATCCTCGATCCCACAACCGAACACAAGCCCCCAACAATCCCAATCACCCAATAGTCCCAACAGAGGCAAAATATTCCCGCAAGATGTCCGGCTTACAGCAACTTTCGGCTCCATGATCCTCTCTCTCCGTGTCACCGTCCTCCTCTCTCTCTCTCTCTCTCTCTTCCTGCCTCTTCCCGATCAGCTCGCCGCTATGGTCAGGAACACACTGTCATATATATCCGGCAAGGATCCTGCCTATATATAGCGGGCCCCGAAGGAAGTACCGGAAACGGAGTCAGGTGGGGGATGGAGGCGATGATCGGTGCCCAACCAGCGTAGTAGACTCGAAGGTGCCGAGAGGAGACGGTGCACACACCGATTACCACCTGGTGGTTCCCGTATGCTTGGACATGTTAGTGTGTGCGCGACCACAGAGGAACGGCCGTGACCTAGAGCCCAGCACCAGAGAAATTCGCGCTCCGGGCGGTATTCGGCGTCGGTATACGTCGTACCCTTTGGGGTACATGAGAAAATCGGCGACAAGACCGAATCTTCTGGGGACTTCGTCAACGCGGAAAGTGAACGTCACAGACTGCTCAAATTCGGTCTTGTATGAGCTTTCATTACGGAAACGTCGCACGAGAACCATTAATTCGGCGTTAGAACAATGGTATAGTATACAGGGTGTTCCACCTAACATGAGCACCTTTGGTATCTCACTTGCTTTTTTGATTTGCGGAAAATTTATTTGAAAATGATGTTCATCGACATCGATACATTTTTCTACTAGTGATTTTGTCGTAGGTATTTTATTATTTAAGTCTACTATTATAGATTTGTGGATGTTTCGTACTCAAGGTCACATAATGGTCACACTATTCTAGGTTATTAGATTGGTCTTGGTCTCAACAATTACGCCATGTTGATAAAAATATGTAGTACCGTTTAAAAAAACATCGATGACCTTGAAATTTCGAAAAATATGACCTTGAGAACGATTGTTGTTTATTATAGAATTTGCTTCTTTTAATCAAAATTCTTTCCCCTTACATTTTTTGTGATCTTCAGAAACAAGTGAGATATTGATGGTGAGGTAGGACACTTTGTTTCATACAGCTTTTAATTCTCTACCGGACTATGCATTAAACACATACTAAGGTTATAAGTTAACGTTATGAAATAGTAAAAATAAAACAAATCGAAGAAACGATAATTATTTTGTCATCTACTATATATTATTGGCTTAAGAATAACGTGGAGATCTCATTGCATTTGACGAAGATTTGTTTTTTATTGCATTTTAAAGAACACTACAGGCTATAAATGCATAAAATCTGCAGTTTAGTAATTAGTATTACGCTTTGAATATTTATGTTTCATCATCTGTAGTGATAGTGATTCGTTGTAAGAAATTGTACATTATTAACTTCGCAATATTTGGTTAAGTCGTTTTCACTACTTAATTAATGGTCGGATGTGAAACGACTTTTTTCAAAGATAATGACAGAAATGAAGCAGTGAAAGGTTTATTTTAATCGCGGAAGTGAAAATTTAACTGGAACGTTGTCTCGAAGTCGATAGCGTCAGGTGCTTTATGTAACAGAGAAATGATATAAATTTTGGGCGGTCTTTGATATTGAAGCATTACAACGTAGCGCGCGTGTCGACGACCTGAAAAGTTTCGAATAGAAAATCGAAAGTTCTCCCCGCGTTACTGTGATGAATGGATTTTAAATGAAAACATAGTGTATCAATGCTCAGACATTCCACGTTATATCGGTACAATAACTGTGACGAATCCCGAGATAATGTTTCCAGGGGATTCTAAATCCAACCTACTTTTTTCCGTTTCTACAACAATGATCAATGATAACGTAAAAAAAAAATACCGAGGAAACAAGCGTGTACCAATCGAACGTGAGAAAGCAATTCGCCGCGAGGAACTCTCACGAGTCGCTCTAAACGCAATAACGTAAATCTCTTAATTAACCGGCCGCGCTCTTTCTTTCATTTTCTATCAATCTTACGAATTCCAGGAGCAAAAATCCTTTCACTGTTCTTTCTTTTTCGTGCACGCGTGTGTCAATGCCCTATCGATCTCGCTTGACCGTCGAGAAACCGAGGATGTGGGTTAAATTACCATAAATGGTAGCAAAAAGTGTTCGACAAATTATATTTTTAGAAACTTCACATCTCCTTTTTTACTTAAGTCCTTAAAAATGATAATTTATATTTCTCAGGCTAGAATATCAACGATATTCAATATTTATGGACAGAGATCGTTTATTTTTAAAACGAGGCTATTGAGCTGGCAATGAATATACTATTAATTTAATGTATTTATAATACCCGTGGTTCCCTAAAAATCATTGTCTATCAAATTCATATTTGAGTTCAGTTTCTGACTTCGTGAACATCAAATTTTCAAGAGAAATTCGTATAATACACAAGAAAAATCTTCGATGCTATAAGATTCGTGGGAACAATATACTGGCCGAAATTTCTATAGTCATCTTTCATAAATATTTTCAACATACCACCAATTTTAATGTCCCATCGTATCTGTTTTTATATTTTCATTAAAAAAAATAGAGGTTTCACTAAAAATAGTGAAAAACAATTGTTAATCTCAACTTTACAGAAATTTCTCAGTTTATTTTTTTTTAAATTATATTTCTATTTGCTTTTTTTAAAGAAATATTATATTAATTTTTTTTAAATCGATATGTACACTTTCTTTAATTAATCTCTGAATGCTACCAACACAAATTTTTCATTGGAATGGAATAATTATAAAAGTTTATCAAACAACAGTGACTTCATGGAAATTTCGGCCAGTGTATTTTCAAATAGACGTTCCAAACTTGTTTGCAAAAGTTGTTGTTCCCTTCTCGAAACACTCTCCAGCATTCCTACAATGCAGAACAAGTATATTCATCGAGCGTGTCGCGTTCCCAGCGATATGAAACAAGTACTTATTCGTCGTAAGGAGATATTATCTGCGCGCTCGCGCGGCAAAAAGCGCGCGCATTTTTCATTTCACTTTTCATGCTGCACCGTGCTGCAAACTTACTTTTCCTCCGAAAGGTTGTTGCATCGATCGGGTGGACAGTTCTTTACACGGTGCGGGAGCACACGCGCTTTCCCTGATTTCCAGAATAAAATGAAACAGAGAACGTCGACGCGGTGATTTAACGAGCCCCGGCGCCATGCTCATCGCGAATCGCGTCCACTTTGGGCGGTTGCTCGGAAAGTGAGTGATATTCGGACCTTTCTCTTGGCTCGTTTGTTACCGGTGGATGCACTTGATCAGCAATAAAATTGCTCCGTTCCCGTTACAGAAGGATTTCGTGGCGCACGCCCGTGAAAGAGATATCAAATTCCGAGGTTTCCCTTTCGTGAAAATCCCGCATAGTTTGGATAATGTCCGAACGGCCTGTTTCTGCGAAGGTTATAGTCTACGAAATAAAATTAGATCGTAACTTGAATGGAACCGTCGTTACTAGGTGAGGATTCTTCTGCGAAATAACATTTTATAATGTCATTCATAAAGACAAGAACCGAAATGGGAATTTCTTTTCTTTATTAAATATCTTATGGGATTAGAATAAATAAAAAAATTTATTGCATCTGATGTTAGTGTTCTCTTTTATTGGATTTAAAGCCTAGACATTAATTTTGCATGTACCTGATGAATATGAAGTACTGAGTCGAAATACAGGTCCTATAATTTTTTTTCATCGACCTTCTAGAAGAAAATAATGTACTAGCAAAAAAATATGTACTTTTATTTTAAATTAACTCCATTTCAGCTTGTCCTAAATGGGGAAGATAAAGTACCTTGTCATTCGTATTTATTGTATTCACCTAGTGATTCTTACATTTAATTCTATTGTAATATCCTCATTAGTGTAAACTATATTAATATACGTTGGTATTTAGAAATGATAATGTTTCGAAAATAAATCTTTAAATTGTAGGTTCAATGGATTTAAGTGTTAGCACGATCGTGGGATTAATGCTGAATAGATATTTACGCGATGAATGGTGCTTTCAGTTATGTAAATTTCGATGTTTGAAAATCGTAACTTGTTAACCAGGGGTATTATACAATAACGTTTCTCACTTTCAGTAATTCCAAATAAACACATCGAAGTATCGCGTACACTTCCTTTATTTCTTGGCGCAGAAGTGTAACTATTAGCTGGAAGAAACGGCGAGGAAACGTTGCATAAGTGCACTGTTGTCGAAAAGTAAAAGTACAATTAGCTCTCGGGTAATCGGCCTCAACTAGAGCCTTGCCACAACGTCCTCCGGATAAATAGTTCAAATACTCCGGTAACCAGTTTACTCTGATTAAAAATCGTCCCGTCACTATCACTTTCAGTCATGCCTACGATAACCGAACGCTGTAATGTGTTACGTTAAGCTTCCGATCCTCTCCCGTTCTACGTCAATTACTCATTGATGTCTCGGCTTCTTAACTTTTCCGGATTTGTTCAGTTTTAACGACAAGCAGAATTAAATTTATAACTGTATAGAATATCTACGCACTTTTTATTTATTGTCACATGACTTTCAACAGCATAAAACAGAAAGACTGGTTCAAGAATTTATTCCAATCATTTGAACGGAAGGATTACATATTCTCAAAACAGTATCCACTCAAAAGAATTAATACACAAGCAGATATGATCTGTACATATATATTGTTATTCATATTCTCTTGTCATCATGAATATTCTTGAATAACCTTGAATGACCTTGATACACCCAATAATAATGTACACCCCATATAGTCACATTTAAGAAGGAACAGTGTGTCACAATCCTACAAAACTCATACGTTGATTAAAACCTCCCTTAAACCTTATAACTCCTTGAATCTTCACCCAGCGAACAGAGATCGAAATATTACTTCAACCCTAACACTTGCCACCTCACATCCTATCGATCCTTTAACCTTCAGCCGGCAAATATTACCGAAAAAACAGAGTCCATCCGAACCCATCTGTCTATACAAATACAAAACATAATTATAACAATTACAGGGGTGACCCACCATTAGTACCTAAATTGAAATCTAAATTTAATATTAAAAACCACGTGTCCTAGCCACTCCAAAAGGACCCTGTATTCACCGTTCTCGCTCGACCATTAGACATTCGAAACACGTTGCATCGTTAACATAAAAAGAACAGTAGACCCAGTTTGGATGTTCGAATCGTCTCATTCAACCGATCTCCCGACATGCAGTCTAAAAAAACGTCCAGCAAAAATCCCAGAAAGGGGCAACCAAGTATCTGCCTCTACCCGCCAATGCACCCCTATTTGGGCTCGATCGCGCGGCAATCAAGGTGTGCACGAAATCGTAATCACGCCGATCGAATAGAAAAACAAGTCCGGTCGGTTCTACGGCGGCAACGAACGACGGGAGTTAAACGCCTCGATGAAAAGACGAGCTGTCTGCTCGATGACAAACAACCACGCGACGCGTCCAGTGAAACCGAGCGTGAATCGCGGCTTGACATTGCCGCTTGCCAGGGGGTTAATCGGTTTGAAAAGTCGCGGGAACGCAGTTGTGGGGGGGAGGGGAAAATTAAGTAATGCGAGACCGTCGCGGAATCGAATCGCGAAACAGCTCGGTGTTTGTTCTCGCGGGAACGAAAGCGACCCGACAACGTGCACGATCGTATCGATTCTCCCGATCGGCGCCACACCTTTCTGCACATCACGTTTGAGGTTAGGTTTCACCGGCGTCGAGCCAGTCGCGTTTCCCGTTCCGTTCCGGCGGAACTAAAGGCTCCGTTGCACCTGTTCCACGATCGTGAGATCATTTCTGTTGGAATGTAGACGGAAATCGATATCGATCCCTGATGATCTACCTTCACGCCTCGGAAACGGCTACCTATCGACGGGGGTACTCTTAACTACCGGTGAGTCGATTTTAATTAGAATCTCGTTGCGAAGAGTTTCCTTCGATTGGTCTTTGCCGTGGTTACGGTGTAGGAGTAAATGTGAAAGATACAGTACGTTTCGATGACTTAATGAGCGTTAAAAAAATCTCAATGACCTTGACTGACCTTGAACGAGCTGTTCTTGTTAAATAATGTCCACGAGTAATCCTGTGTTATTTCATAGGGGAATTAACCCAGGTTGAATACCACCCCTCCTTCCAACGACAACCTACCTGAAGACATTACTTCAAAGAAGGACATCCCCTACCAGTTTCGGTTTCCCTAGTATCCTCTTATGCAATTCTATCTTCTTATTTGATTCTTCACTATCCTCAAGAAGAAGAAGACTTTACATATGTTAACCTTGAATCCTAAAAGACCTTCGAACTCGCACTTCTATACAAGCCTCAAAAACCTTGAAAATACCTTTACAACACTGCCGTGACTTTGGACGACCTTGAGTCATTCCGTGTCACCAATTACCACCCACGTTACCAGTTCGAAAGACCATTCCTGTACAAATAGAAGAAAGTTGATGCAATCACTCAAAGGGTTAACCAACGATTACCCTCTACCTTAAAAGCCACCTATTAGTCACCTGTACCCATTAACTAGCCGTAGCTGTTCCGTAAGTAGAAAGCTAGCCTCCGATGACCGAACGTCAACATGTCAGCGGCGCGATCAGGACAATAACCTCGCGGAGTAGCCGGTGGTTCTGTCGCCATGTGATTACGCTTCGTTCGCGAGCAATTAAGCACGCTCTGAGAACGTTCATCTTTCGATGAAACGACCGGTAGCTGGGTTGCTGTCGGGGAACGAAATAGAAAGTGGCGGGACGAAAAGAACCGGACGAGAAAAGGGAACAAGGGGGAAGCTCGACAACGAGGATGTAACACATGGTCGGAAGGGGGGGATGAGGAGAGATCGAAGATTCGTGAGAGGCCGCGACGAGGTGACTCTCGCGGTGCCCCTTCACTTCCATTTTCGTGTACCAACGATCAAGGAGGTTGGATTCACGTGTGTATGTACTTGATCCTGTGCTCTCTTACTTTCCAACTGGACTTCCCGGGTGATGCCCTTTGGCCATCTTCCACTTCCGACGTCCACGCTGTAAAAACGGTGTTACTGGTCCTCTGAGGATCGATTGCTAGCATTCTGATCATTTTTAGCTTGCAACCACCTTTTATGTTTCAAACCTGCGTGATCTCACAATTTTTTAACGGGTTGCAGGTTTTTATTGTGATAATGATGAATGTGTTGAAGGTTTTTTTTATTATGTTGTAATGTTAATTGTATAAGTACTAAAATTGCAGGAAGTTTCCCAATTGACAAGCAAAAACCTTGTAAAGTGGTTGTAAGTGAACCCTTGTATTTTAACTGTTAATTAATTACATAGATAGTAACATCGTTGCAAAATGTACTTCCCCCCACCATGGAATGCTTTTCGATTCTACATTTACCTTCTAAACTTTCTTTCGATCAACAGTTTGTTGCACACGATTGTTGAGTGACACGTTTTCAGGCAAGAAACCGAACGCCATTAATTAAATGGTCTTCAGACAACGTAAATTGAACGTTCCTTTAATGGCTGCAAGCGTGTCGTGCGAGTGCATCGATTAAGCGAGTGCACTTTCGTTGTATCGCGCACGGTTGAATCACCAGGAGATACTCTTTGACCTTTTCCTTACGGTAGAAACTCGAGGTGTTCCGACAACAGGGAATCAGGAAAAAAAAATGCTTGCTTTCCCGCGAAAAGCAAAGCAGCCGTGACGATAGACGCGTCGACTAACCGTGCGTTTATCATTTCTGCGTGCGACGCGCGGCATCGCGAAATTACAGACGATCGTAAGAGGCTTTTCATTTCTTTTTTTTTTCCGGCGTGTGTAACGCGGGAAATTAGAGCACTCGTGCGGAAAATCAGGAGAACACCCTCGTTCCCGTTTACATCCGCGATGAACACGTTTCCTTGTTGCGTCTTAATGACAGAAGCAGAATTGTTGACGTTCCGTATCCTGTTCTTTCTTCCACAATGGAAAGTGGTGATGCTTGTACATTTTCGGGTTTGTCCGTTACTTTGAGGTTATCTGCAAGAGTCGCCATTTTGAAAGGTGGAAATATTTATTAGATATTATACATATTACTTATATTTATTCAAAATAATTATATCTTTTTGGAATGATACAAAAAAAAAAGTAAAAGGTATTTTAAATTAACTTTCAATTCGGATTAGTGAGTTATATCAAGGGGCACCGTCCGTCATCTTGGATGATGTTCAGTGAAATTGCATAAATTGCATCTTTAACGAGACTAACAGGTAAAAATAGAGAAAGCTGTTAATAATGAAGATTAATATTTTATTTTAGTTATTCATACACATGAAAACGGTCAAGTTTAAGTCAGTTTCCATCAACAGTTTGTAAAATTTTCTGACTTTATCGTAATATCTTCAAGCGAGCATCAATCGACCCATCAATAATCATAACATCATTAAGTCAATAAGTGTTAACATAATTCATTTAAATTCATAAGTGGTATTAATATACGAAAATTAACACTATTCGTTATATGTTCCTCAATGTCGAAAATGCTCTTGTTCCTGAAAAAGTTGTACGAACCAGGTCTACACGCGCCTCGACCCGTTCTACCACTTTTTTGCTTCACGCGAGAAAGACACAAAGTAACTGAATTGCCGATCTTGCGTGCTCCTATGGGAATACCGTGCGCTAGCTTGAATATCTTCTGAACAGGAACATTATGTTCTCCATTCCACCGGAATAGATCGAATTTGATAGATACTTTCTTTCGATCCCGTTCAACGCGCGAAGCAGGCTGTTATTTTCCCACTTTTTTTCTAATTCGGTACAGGACGAATACTTTCACGATTTAAATAAAGTAGATATACCGCCGTTGAATACCCTGGGAAATTGAGTTCATGGAAAATGTACCTGGAAACTGCTACCTTATACCCTGGGAAACTGATTTCATGGAAAATCTACCTAGAACTTGCTACCTCGGTATGTAACCTCGAGTAAGTTTCATTACAACGTTCCTCGAAGACATGAACATTAATTCACAGTTTAAAGTGTATCAATACTGGAGAAATATTACACTTTAGAAATCGATGCTTAACGATTTAATGGAGGAACGGAACCATTTAGAGCTACAGACTCCTCTCGATTATTGTCCCGAATTCGGGTCCACGCCGGGACAATAATCGTATAGGGAGAAATGTATCCTTGTAAATTCGTTTTTTGCCCGAAGTATTTGCCCACACAAAAGTATGCGCTTGACAGGTTCCACCTCCAGTGGTGGGGATAACAGCTGGACAATAATCGTGTAGAATAAACTAGACAATAATCGAGAGGTGTCTAACTGTGTTCACGCCAATTACATAGGAGGAAGTCAATTCCCTTTTAAGGAAGTTCACAAGAACCTCTTTGGATTGGTGACCGCCGTTGTTCTCTGTGTTAACCTTCCAGCTTCCACGTCGATTGTGGGGGGGGGGGGGAGAGTTGGTGGCGGACGAAGCGGGGGCGGCGAGCTGAAAAAGATCGAGAGGATCGTGTCTCCTCACGGAGGAGAGCAACTTTCACGACTTTCGAACGTTCAGCCGGTCATCGGACCTCGGAGTGAAAGTAAACGGGGAAGATGTGATCCACCGGACGACCATGGCATTCGATCGTCACTTTGTTCTTGTACGAGGAAACGGGGACCGATCCCCTCATCCGCGATGACCGGTGGACCGTGTATCCGATCGCCACCGTTAAGCCCGTTTCACAGCTGTGTAAAATGATTATTTTTCCTCGACCTTGAGACAAATGATATTGTACAATTAGTAAAATAATAGCCACAGGTCATTGAAAATAACTAGAAAAGACTAACATCGTTATATCGATCGAAAAGTTTGATTCATAAATAAGTTTCGTAATCCTTGAATTAAGAATGTTTTACAGGTATGTAAATTTAATATTCTAGTATGACCTTGAGGAAATTCATACTGGGTTGCAAGAGAAATAGTTTACTGATTGAAAGTGACAGTGTATGTTTTTTGTGATGCAAACTGTTGACTAATGATCGGCAGTAATTAATTTCTGTTTCCGGGCAGTTCCATGGAAATGTAAATCAAATATTTTGGTGTAGTCTTGTAAATTAATTGCAGGTGTCATTTGCAATTATATAAATTGAATATTCTAGTATGACCTTGAAAAATTAATATTGTATAGCCAGAGAAATAGTACACTGATTGAAAGTGATACTGTGTCTGCTGTGATCCAAACGTTTGACTAATGATCGATAACAGTTGGTTTCTATATTAAGGCTGTCACACAAGAGCGTAAATCAATTATTTTTTTGTAATTTTGCAAATTTAATTACAGTTGCCTGGATGAATCGATTAGGTCTTTAAAGTGTGACAGTATCTATATCTATTTTAAATTTCTATCTGTATGTGCGTTAATTAAGGAGAAATGACATTACACGAAACACAGTTCCAGCATAAACATAAAAAATTTACACACGTGTTTAGATCAGCTTTTCATCCTGGTAATTTGTAGCTTTTTCAGGGTAATGATCAGGTTCGTAATGAGAACGTAGATCAACGTAACATTTTAATTGAACGACCGTGATGGTAATTGCATCCAGCAGGAGAAAATGCGGTATATACTTTACGAACCGTTTTTGGGCATCTTTCATTACTTTCTACGTTTTTTTTTTTAAGATGATGTTGCAGCTTGTCACGATAGAAGGAAAGGTACGAGGTTCGTTTATTTAAAAATATTTCAGATGAATGGTAGAGATAATGAATATCGGACGCAGATCTCCTCGTGCTTCTCGCAAGAAATTTTTAATAACATTCACCAAGATTTAAAGTTCTCGTTCGGAGAGAATGTAAACGAAATTGAAAATAAGTACCGTACAATTTGAAACATTCGCTGAACACTTCCGATTACATTTATGATTGTTACAAAAACAAATCATTGATATTGTTATCGTTGTTTCATTATTTACAGTGTAAAACATTTACGAAAGAACTATCAATTCAAGCTACGTGATTGCCTCGAAGCCTTGATACGAAAACGACCGTGCAATTGAAGTCTACTTCAAGGGAACTTTCCACCGGGAGAATCGCCTTTCCCACCTTTCAGTCTGTCATCAATTAATAGATAAAGAATGACTTTCACCGATATGTGAGGAACGCATTAAAGCCTGCATGTTAAGCACCATGCATATTCGCATGCAACCTTTTCACGTCACCGTGCAATAAAACTACGCACATCGTTCGGAATTTCAATTTCTAATCCTGTTGCAATATCGAAAAACACCGATTATTTACAACGACATAGAATCATACACCGATTAGGAACGCATAAAGGAATATCATTGAAATGAAAAACAGTCTCATCATTTCTAAAAAAATCATAATAACACGATCATTCGATATAATATTCTGACACGTTTGTCGGATCGAATTCAACGAAATCGGTTCACCATTCTACAAATTGAAACTCTATAAATTACTTCATCGACACTATCCATTCGACATCTTCAACCGAAAACAATCAAATCGTATTCCAAGCTCGTCAGAATCACCGAGAACCACCTTCGGAACCTCCGTGATCTGTACACAAAATTCTAACCTAATTGCACATGGATCAGACGCCCTCCATGCATGTCAGTGTACCCGTAAAATCGTGCAAAGCTGAAGGTTCCAGCGTTACCCATTGACCGTCTGCGCGAGCGACGGTAGGGCGTTGTTTAGGGGAGCATTGAACCCTTGGAACGGGTTGGTTTGAATGGGCATAGATCGAAAATCGTGTGGAGGTTCCATAGTGTCTTCTTTTACAGCGTAGCCTTGTTTTGGTTGTGCAATATTCAAGGGCCAGGCAAAGGATCCACCGAAGGAAGAAGATGGCTGAAGGTTCGAGTAGCTAGGGGCCAATTGCTGGCCCTGATAGCTACCAGCTAAACCAGAAGCTCCGTTTAGCAGATATTGGGGCCACGATTTTGTCATTTCCTGGAGCTTCTGTTGGTACTCGCCCAATGATACGCTGTCCCTGATCACGATACCCTCTTTGCTACCCCCAATTGTAGCAGCTGGGATCCCAGAAGGCAACAGAACGTTCCCTTGAGGCTGTGGCGACACGTTACTGTACAGTTCCGCAGCCTTCTGTTGAAGAAAGAGAAGCTGTTCCTTCCCCTGATCGACGACACCGCTGAGATCGATCGGGCTGTTCGCGGTTAGCTCCTTCTCGATCGATCTCGACGAATAGAATTTCTTGCGATCGTTCCTCCTCTCGTTGTAACTCATCGCGCTTTCTGGATCGGCGAAGAAAGTTTCTGGCAGCGGGGACTCTTGCGAGTGTCCCGATGAAGGATACTCCGGGCCTGTCGTGGAGTAGGAGGTCGGCGCGTGCACTTGCTCCGATTGCTTGTGCTCTTGCGGGCCTGGGTATCTGGAGTGGATTTTTATTAATTAGTGAAAGTGCTCCGAGTGATTGGCGTTCGTGTGACATGATTTCATCCTTTTTTTTGTTCTAGCGGAATTGGATCGCGAGTGATCGTTGAATAGACACTGTGGGTTTTAGGCGGTTGGAATTGGTGCAAGTGAATAAAATACAGGTAAATAGGAATATTGATAATGTTTAATGCACGTTTCAGTCCATTTTTTGTCTTGTTGATACATTCATCGAGGTAATATATTTGTACTTTGAATTGTGTTTTTGTAAATTGTTTTGTAACTACAAGAATTTGTTATTATGTCCACAGTCTAGTGTGTTAGTTGTTTTTTACTAATAGGTAATTATTAGATTGTTTAAATATTTACTGTGGTATGTGAGCTTTGTAGGTTTGGAAACTGTATCTTGGAGGAAGTGGAATATTCCGTCGATGGTCAGACAGACATGCCTGAAATACTGGTACGTTTCATACAGACTGGGCAAGCATTGGACGATTATCTCAAGATTGGTAGGTAATTCCTATTATTGTACTACCTTAACAAGTAATTGTAAAATATTCTTTGCATAAGTATTGTATAACTTTGTGAATTCCAAAGAAGATGAACATCGTGCACCTCAAGTTAATCAAGTAAGACTTCAGGTAGCTTGTAACAATTATACTGATAATATAGTTTCTAAATATAGAGAAGCAGAATCTCTAAAACATAGAAATTCTTTCAAAATGAATAAATTTCAAAAAATTCATGATTGAAACAGCTCTTGCTAATTAATGGAACTCAACGAATCCTCACAGAATCCCAAAACCATAAAGATCCTCTCAAAATAAGAGAATTTCAAAGTTGTATTACTGAAACATCTTGCACTAACCTTATTAACGATAACTAAATGGATCTGAACGAACCCTACCTGATGCACAAAGAGCTTATATATTCACTTCAAAAAATTTCTTACAACTAAAATTTCGATTCATTGAACTACTTACTGAATAGTTCTCAACCTCAACCATGACAATTACTTTCAATCTATCAAAAACTTTTCAATTTCTAAAGAAGAAAATAACTTAATATTTGACCATTTCACAGGTGAGATGACATTTCCATCTCTTTCTCGACCGATCAAGAGGTTGTACTTGTAACTATCACAATTACTTTCAATCTACCAAAGACTTTTCGATTTCTAAAGAAGAAAATAACTTAATATTTGACCATTTCACAGGTGAGATGACTTTTTCATCGTCGTTCGATCACGAGGTTGTAATTGAAGTTGTACTTGAGCCCTGTTTACTCACTTTTCACGGCCGAAGGAGAAGCTGCCCTTGATATGATCGTAGGGAACGTAACCCTTGCCGTAGGAAATCGCATGGCTGATGTCCTTTCCGTACGGTATGTTCACGTGGTTCACGCTCTCGTGGCCTTGATCGAAGTCATCCCCGCCGTGGGGATACGGCGGGCTCGAGTACAGGTGTTTCTTAGAGTGATAATGTCCAGGTGTACCGTGATATCGACGGTAATGGGGTTCCTGGGAGGACTTCCTGTAACGGGGAGCAATTGGTCGCCACGATGACGATGGGCTACGTCTTATCTGCTGCGGCATCACAACCACCACTTTGCCGCTGAAAACAAAATCGAAGGATAATGTTATTTGCGTGTGAATCGAACACGGTCTGTTTACGCGGTTAACGTTTAATGTGCGTGTACTTACGCGTGGGCGAGGAGAGGCTCGCTGATCGCCAGAACCAGAATGCAGAAAGCCTGTGGACGTTGAATGGATGTTAAACGATTCGGGGTGGGCTACTTAATTAATTGTTGTTGGGATTGTACGTTTGAAATCTGGATAGTCGATTGAATTGTGTGGTATTATTAAATATCTAAGTGGCTTGAGGGTCGATAGAAAATTTGATATTATTATTAATACTATTACTGAGATATGGTAATGTGCACGACGAAGATTAAAATTGCGAATTTTCTCGTCTTTGCAAAGTTAAAGTTCATTTTAATAGATAGCATTTAGACGGAAGTATGTGTTTGTTTCTGAATACGATATTTAGATGGAATTGACAGAGTACCAGAGGGAAAACGAAGATATTCCTATGGAAATTATTATACACGCGATTGATTAATTTTTGTTCGCTGTATATTTATAGCAAATGTAAAATACAATTGCATACCATCTTCCAAAGAATACTAGACTGCGGATTTTGTACATCTGTAGAATATGCAATTGTATAAAAGACAATGAAACAAAAACGTTAATGACGGTTTAATAGAACCTGTACGTCATTTGTAACTTTACCAAAGCCCGAAGACCAATTCAAGCCACAAGACTCACCAGAATTCAAACGTATAAAAATATTCCAAGAAATCCTAAACTTGCATAATTATCCAGAATTTAATTACACCTCCATAACAAACAAAACTAGGGCAATAATTTACATAAGTAATTTACATTTAACCCACACTGAATCATTCTACTGTTCCACTTTCATTAGTTACAGAAGTGTAGCTTAGCACCAAAGCATCCCCCATTCCTCTTCCCATCTAAAAATCTCCATTTCAAGATCCAGACCCAGCAAAAATCCAAAAGCTCCCGACAAAATCTCAGTTACTAACAATTAATCGTCACTTACAGGCCACCACATGTCGATCAACCTTCTGTAAGCCCTCGTCGCGATAAATCCTCGGATCGAAAGGGTCGCCTGGCACACCGTGGCCGCCGTGGTACCAGCTGAATCCGGCTCCCGTTCTGATCCGTGTTCTCCAACCGGTGCGGATAAATTGCAGCGGGCCGGGGCAGGCTTCTTCTCTTTTATACAAGATAAAAAGAGCATAATCGAGGTCCGGTGGACGAACGAACGGCCGGCGTACGCCCTCCCACTCGTCCTGGAAAAGAGATCGCGTTCTCCTGTATCCTACGCGACGATGGAAATGGGTGTGGGCACCGCGGGGCTGGGTGGCGTGCGTGCACAGGACGGACAGTTGAGCGCACGGTTATCATAGACCTCGTTGGTATTTTTGTTTCGGGGGAAATCGACACTTTCTTCGGGCGGCGTGATCACGGCAACGACGACGCCCGTTTTAATCCCTTCTGCCAGAGACGTTTAACGGGCGGCCAGTACACGGCGGATTTGCACTCTGTGCTTTCCAAAACGCGACCAACAAGAACGGCCGCGGCGCTCTAGATTTCAACGGCCGACGTGCGTGTAGAAGGTGTTTCCTAAATGGTGGTGCAAACGATGGGCAAAGATAAGTCGAATAACTATTTTTCGTACGATGCTTCGTTTTTCAGAAAATCACCTGGATAAGGCGTCTGGTCTTTGCAGTCTGATTCTACTTATTGTCGCTACGAATATGTACGGGTTGGATGATCTTTGGAAATTGATTATGTTGAAATATTGATTTAAAGGAAGTAAATATAGTAATTTTACAATTGATAAAAAACAATAAATAAACATTTTGTAAACTAAATTATCCCTGTTGGACTGCGGTTTGTGTGCATTTGTGACCAATGTTTGAAATAGAATAGAGAGACAACTTTCATCAGATGCAATGTATTGTCTAGTTTAGTCTGAAGCTACTGAGATAGTTAAGAGAAGAACGTAATTCGTACCTTTGTTCTTGTATTCAAGAATTACTTTAGAAAATGTTATTTTGCATACAAATTTGCAGGCTATTGATTCTTTTGGAAACGAAGTGTATCATGGGAAAGAATCTTATTCTATATTTAAAGAATCGTATGCTACCACTTGCCCCATTGGTTCAAGGATTCAATGGACCCTATTATTAAATGTGGAACATTTTCACAGGGTGGATTCTAGACATCAAAATAATTATAAAACTTCGTACACAGATATATTCGATTTCGCTTCATTTTTTAGATATATACGAAATTTTTTTCACTTCCTTTAATGGTCGGCTGAAACGCCTGGAAGCAGGCAACTTCGTAGTAGTATTGTACTTGGGGTTGCCAATCGATCTTTAATATGAATCTATCTGCTTTAAGAAAATAGGGTTGTATCAATACTGTCGAATGAAATCACACTACGTCAGATGTTCAAAAAATGTTTGAAAAACTTCACAGTTTGAGAAATTGTAATACCTCCAGATGTTTCTATATCTCGTAAATTGTAGAGAATGTATAGTTTTGCATGAATCTGGTTTTGAAGTATATATAAATTGAATATATAAATGTACCTCTCCTTTGTAACCATATAATGTACATATTTCCTCGAAGGAAATCAAGTGTATCAAAGCACGAATGTTTATTATCTAAACGCCACTCTTATACACTAACAGAAATTATATAATTTCGTGATACATACTCTTCGATAAATTACCCACATTGCATGCATTATGCCATACTTTCTCAACCTGTTAAAACGCGATCTGCTAAACACAGCACCGAAATAAGTCTGTTACTGTAATTTCGAAGCGTGAGAAGACAGCGTAACGATCACGATCGATGGTTGGTCACAAAATCTTACTATCTTCCATCACGAACAATTTACTTGCGATTCATAATTCATTAAGCTAAATGATTCTACAAGAACATCGGCCACAATCGTTCGGTTTTAATCTTTCGCTTGGTGGTATAATTCTTCTTCAAGGTTCCTTGCGTCGATCGTAAACTTTGGCTTAAATAATTGTTTGCTTTCTCTGTAATTCGCTCGGTTATCATTATTCAACGGCTTCTTAAGATTTTTTTACCGAAAGTCAGATCTCAAAATTTGTCGACGGTTTCTTACAGAATCTAGAGAAACTCGACACCACATTGTTTTCGTCCGTAAAAATAAAATTCACAGGCACTTTGCGCTTGTTAGTCTGAAAATCACGCCTGTATCAACGGAAATACCATCCAGTTAATTAACATCGGTTATTATCTCTGACAATGAACAACAAGTAGATTCGTAACTCCTAGTCAATGATTATTAACCCTGCTAATACATATTATTTTTTAAATTATATATTATTCTGAAAAAATAGAATATTTGTTCTAGTTCTCCATCACATGTCGCCATTTTAAAACCATAAAATATTACAATGTACAATACTCCAAAACCCATAGATAAAGTATTAAGAAGAAAGTACAGAAGATTCCGTTCGAAATGTGTCAATTGAAACCACGAAGAAGAAAAGAATTCTAGAATCAACATAGAAGCTTTACTACCGAAAGTAAGTAATTCGATCGACTGACACTTGACGGATGAAATATCATCGGTTCCTGCGCGTGATCTTTGTTCGTCGAAGCAGGACGAGAATTTTCACCGAATATTTCTCTCCTTTTGTTCGACATATCGTCGTTACGGTCCAGATATAGGATCTTCTCTCGCGTTATCGGTGTCGTTAGCGTAAAAAGCGTAACCCCGACATCAATTAGCTCATTCACGCGACGGAGATTCGTGCGCCAGAGGATCTCTCGCTCGTACGCCGATCGACGGCGGCCGACAGAATAGGATAAACAACGTTCGAAAGTCATTCACTCCTTAAATGCACGATTTTCAATGTGTAAGTACGAAGGATAAAGGCGATCGCTGACGGTGAAAGCGATCGCAACGAAAGTACCGCCCCGTTCCCTTTTTTTCTGCCCCCCATGACGTTGCATTTACATAAACATGGGAAACGGTTTACCGCTCGCGATCGATCGGTCGATTTAATGCAACCCTCCGGTAAACAAGTGATACTGAACTTATTTATTAACTGTAGGATCGATATTGCGGGCGTGGTACAATTTAGAGATTGATTCTTAACAGTTTAGATGGATTGTTCTTTTTTTGGGAAAGGAGGAATAAATTAGGGGAATTGATATTTAGCACTCTATTTTATACTGCTCGATTAGAGGTGCAACTTGATTATTGGTAAAATCTGTTTTATAGATCGCAACGACTGTTGGGAAAGTATTTTCATGGTTATTAACGCAGTATGTGGGTATTTCGTGTTTTACATTCCGTGCATGAAGTGGTGAACAAAACGAGCAAAGACAGCTTTCCATGAAAATTTCTTTATTGGGCGACGTAGGAATAGGTAATGAAACTAATGTATGCAAATAGAGAAAAATGTATTAATGACGCGAAATGAACGAAAGTCGCCGTGGGAAAGTACATTTCGAATTTCTACATTGCTGTGGATCGTCGCATATTCAACTGCGCCAAGTTTCTTAGCAAAATGTAGAACACTTTTTGGTAGAATAAATATTATTTACTACTAAATGTTATTTAGTATTATTCAAAATTAATGTCTCTAAATAGAAATGATTGCTTTCAACAAAAATGCAATTTTTAGACCCATGTCTTTTCATTTCTTAATAATTCTAGTATCAACCCTCTTTGACTCAACATTTTTCAACTCTGAAAGAAGAAATAAATAAACAGTACATTAATGCAACGAATAAATGAAGTATTTATGGTATAAATAATTTACACAAGAAGAATGATTGTTTTTAATACGAAATCACAATGATACTATGTACGTAGATTTTCAAGAATCTTGGGCATGTAACTAACAAACATCGTTCGTGCTTCACGATCGTTTCCAATTTAATATTCATGAAAGTTAGAAAATTCTCGTCCGGCGCCTGTAAGAATATAATAAGTACATACAGATACGAAATTCGATTCGAGGAGAGAGCGTGTGGTCTGGTAGAATTCGTAGAGAAATCCGACGAAAACAACGGATTGTTATAGAAGATATGTAATCTTCAACGCGATCGATGTAACAAATTTGTGATATTTACGACATGATTTATACGGACAACTTCGGTGCCGTGGTTACAAGATCCCGATCGAATTTCACGAGCGCCAATTCCGCCGAGTGAAAGATCCCATTGTGTACACGAGTTTACCCGTTACTAACGATTGCTTAACGCTAGATCGAAAAAACAAGGTCTTCAACGGTAATAGTAACGTGTGTAAATCTTTGGTAACTTTCTAGAGTATCGTCATCAACGTCGAAGTCGTAGAAATCGTAAAGAATGTAATAAAAAGACAAAGTGAGGTTAAGATGGCGCCTCTTAAAGAAAAATGGCGGACTTCTGAGGTTTACGACAGTGATGGGCAACTCGGCCCGCTCGGGCATGCTGCCCGTACGGGCAAAAGGCGGGCAGCCGCGGGCTCCTGTGCAGGCAATGCGAGGCAGGAAACATTACGACATATTTATATCTTTTAATCTGTATATATATATATATAAATGCATCAAATTCACAATGTAATCATTGATTCAAACCTTTTCATTTCTTTATAAGTTGAATGCACTTAAATAATTTTGAAGAATTTATATAAATGATGGGTCATATATTCGATTAACATACTTACCCTTCATTTTCGTCCGATCAAAAACAAGTAAGAATATCGATGTTTTTCTTTTCAAGGATCGTTCCACAATTTGTATACGTGGATGAAAATAGTTTATGCACGTGAGAACGCGGAATCGAATTGGCCGATCGCTCGAGTCCGTGGCCGTTAAACGGAATTCCTGCAGTAGAGAGTTCACTGTCACGGTCCCGCGATCCGCGAAGGAAAAGGATAACGTACTGGTCGTTTTCGTTTTCGCTCGGTTCTCCCGTTGGAATGCACTGTTACAATTCGGTCTCGTTCTGCGTTCTACGAGAGGAAGGGAGGCGGCAAGGATCAGTTTCCCTTTCTCCTATCGTCTGGCAAATGTGCACGGGATCGTGGAACGCCGCGGACGGATCGGTTTACCCAGACGTACGACCACCGATTTCTATGGATCCTCCTTCTGGATCGTCCAGGGACGATGGAACGGATCGGTTTCGTGAAAGGGAATATTTCAGAGCAGGGACGGTGTAATGGTACCGGCCAAGAAGAAACCACGATTTCCGAACGAGAATTCTTTCCCCGCGAATTCTCGCGGTTCTTCCTGCACGGCAGCGACTCACAAATCCTTTCTACGCCCTCTTTATACGTTCTCCAATTGTGAAGGTTGCTCACTGAAACACTTCGGACGCTTTTCCTTCCTTAGTTAAATACAGGGAGCACTAATAGTCCACGAAATGTAGCGATTTTTCTGGTGTCCTGCACCGAAGGATGGAAAAGCTGCAAGATTTGTGATCATAGATAATATAGATCTTACGAGTGAAGTTGAGAATATGTTATTAGAATATTATCAGATTACGATGTAGAGAATAAACGAGGAAAGCAGTACCATCGAATATTAGTGGTGTACCTGAAAATTTATAGAATATTAATACAAAATTAGCTCGATGCAAAATGTGTATTAATGTGATGTTAGTAAGAATATTTCGTGATTATATCATTATTGTTGAAAAATGTTAGAATCAGAATAATGTATGTAGAAATGTCGATTAATCTAATATGATTCGAATCTGAAGTACACTGTAGAAGATTTCACACATCGAACGCAATGATCTATTATGAAATATTATATCTATAATATATATTCAAAGTATGTATATTGTAAACTTCAAATAATTATATTACAAAATCAAACATAGTTCCTATTCAATTACCAATTGTGCACCGATTCTTGCACGCGAAACCACCAAACCCATTAATGCTTACACGTACCTACACGTTGCAGCTTATATGAGACACCCGAGAGTTGCACAGCGCTGGAAAGGGATCCAGACGAAAAATTCTCGGATAACTTTCATTAGCGTTTGTCCGGGCGAGTGGGCGTCTAATCCAGGTTTCGAAACTTTCTTAAACTCGTCCATCTTATTTCACCGGACACACAGAACGTTCGCGAAAACGCTAATCTCTTTTAAAAAAAAAAACCAGCAAATAAGTATCCTCGCGTTATGTAAATATCGCGAAAGTGTTTCGAAAATGAGACATCCGTTTTTAATTACAACCATCACGATCATCGATTACTTACATTCGTATTTAACCATCGATGATAATCATCGAACAATATGCAAAACTAATCCATGGTCCTAGATTCACGATTTCATTGAAATTTTGTAGAAAACTCGAGAAACCAGTCTTTCTAATCCCGACTTTGGACAACTCGATCCGTATCATTGACACGCTGCGCTGGACTTTAAGTTGCACATCCATCTGGTCGAGATCGATATCACTCGATTCTCGTATGTGTATTGTATCAGATGAATTTCTGCATCGTCGTCGGTGAATCCCGCGTGACGCGACGCTGTTATCTCGCGGATCGTCGAGTGAAACGGGCGTATATACTGTAATGAGTAGAAATTACTCGAAACAGCAATTACATTATATCAAACAGTTCGCTGACCTCCCTCGCATACCTTCACCATGATCGTGTTCTCGACTGTCGAACGCATTTCCCATCGGAGGAAGCATGCACCTATCGTGCACGCACTGTTATTGAACTTGAAAGATGCAATCAGAAATTAATTGAGGAACTTCGACTAATTACAAGTTCCTGTTCCTGTGGCGGTCTTCCGCGAGTGTTTCTAGGTTCGTGTATTCGGAGAGTTGAAAATTTAATGACCACAAACGTAGGAACTGAAATAATTACTTTACAACATATTTGTAACAATATGTGCATAAATTCAGTAAAACATAGCTTAAATATTATTCAGACTTATAACAATAAAAATAATTCCCTTTTCTGTAACTTGTAAATCTTCTGTACGATGTTCAAAGCTTCATATGGAATAGTTTCATACATTTGTCGTCGAAATTTTCATTCTTGGGGACATACGATAGATGGACTAATGTGGAGGGGTTGCGAAGCAGGACACATCACGAGTCACGAGTCGCGATTCACGACATATTTGTGTGTGAAGAAAATGATAGATACGTGCTCTCGTTCACACATTTCACTCACCACTGCCATATGCCAGCATGCTGCACGTTGTTGACCGCTAGTGAGTTTGGCGGGCGCTGAGTTACCCATCACTGGTATATTTATACAAAATTTTACATAATATAGACAAAGGTGGGCTGAACAGTTGAGCACGCGATGCACGACGTCTTAAGGCTTCTGCAACATTTCTACCTTCAGTTGGAGGCTTCTGAAGAATTAGATAAAGGTATACAGGGATTCATAAATTTGTTCATGGAACGATGTTACATTTATTTGACTAAACTATGCGCAAGGTTGTCAATCTTATTTGAAGGTTCACAGAAAAATATAATACAGAAAGATGGTAAAAACAAATGTAGTAAGGGATTAGTAAACACGATTCGTTTGAAGTGCTGTATACTTAATTATTAGGTTGACAGTACGCGATCAAATGTGCGAGCCACAGTATCAGATCCAAACACATCCACAAGTTTCGAAAAACAACCCCTAAGAGAAATCAAACGCGGAAAAAGGTGGAATGTCGCGTAACTAGTATCATCCGGTGCTGCCTACGTCCCTAATCTCCGATGGTCACCTGTCCACCAGCATCCGACTGACAAGAAGATCTCTAGACGCATTGCGATCGGTCCCCTCGTTCCCAGACACGAGACACACGAGTGAAACGAGAGATCGGGGAGCACCCACCTCGTATTACGAGGCTGATCTTGATCTTGGCCGTTCACCCGGCCAAGTCTCTAGCTTTCATTAAAAAGACCAAACGCTGCGCTCGCGCGCGCGGGAATTACACGGTGTCGAAAGAAAAAGAGGAAACCGAAGAAAACAACGACAGGTAGTAGTCAGGCACCAAGAGGATCGAGGTGAAGGGTAGGCCAGTGATTGGTAGTGGTGGGGCCCCGGCTGTGTTGGTCCTCCGGTTTTTTTACCGTACGTATTCTCTATTAGCCGGATCCTTTCACGTGCGCAATGGCGGACCGGGTGCAAAAGATTCCCTTTCATTCTTATCCCGACTCGAATCACGTACGTGTATAAAAGCGGCGGCCGTGTGCATGGCAGACAGCAGATCAAAACCGCGGCTTAAACCGCCAACTCTATCGCGAGGAGGAACACCCGGTAGTTGGCACCCTCCTCCGGCGTGCGCAACAACAACAACAACAACAACAGCCACCAAATACGTCTGCACAGAGCCTGATTAATCGCGATCTAGCCACACGACAGTTCCCCAGGGGCGCAACCATGACCAAGCTCGCGGTAAGTCGTCCCCTGGATCACCGGTGTCGGGCGGATTTTTCGCGGAGTTTTTCTCGGAGGAGATTTTCCGTGTGCACCGTGCTACGTTCGACTGGAATCGTACCGGATTGTTTTATCAGTTTGGGGTTAGAAGCTTCTTGGAATACCTATCGATGAATCGAGCCGGCTTGGGTTTTTGTGAAAACGGTTTTTTGGGCATTTTTGAGGATACTGTACACCGAAATGGCGGTGTTCCTCTGGATTTTGGCCTGTAATTTTCTTGTCGGTGCGGATGTTTTTCGCGGCAAATAGAGGATGTTAATAGGATAGAGGATATTCACGGGAATTTATGGCACAGGACTTTGTTCAGAGTAGAAGAATATTTACATGTTTTTTGGAAGGGCAGTAGGATTTTCTCTGAAGATTTTTCAGAATTTCGTGCGTAGAAATTTTGTTTATATGATTTTATCGTACAAGACTTTATTCGGAATAGAAGACGAACGTGTGCATACGTTTTTTAAGAGGCAGTAGGAGTTTTTTTTTAAGTTTTGAAGCGTTTGGATATTTTTTCGAAGAGACTATTTTTGTCTGAAGTTTTTCAAGAACTTTTCTGTATATAAATCTTGACAAGATTTCTTTGTAATTGTCAGAGAAAACAGAACGCATCTCTCGCATAGAAAGCATAAAACTTACAGATTTAAAAGTAAAAGATTTCTCCGCATTGTATTCGAAAGTATAAAAAATAATTACGAAATATTTTCAGTATCCCGATCGATCTTGCTAAACAAACGATTCTATTTTCCAGGCGGTCTTTGCGGTAGCCTCGTTGCTCGGTGCGGTCAACGCTGGCGGGCACGGCGGTGGACAGTAAGTTCTCTTTTGTTTGCTTATTTTTTTATCTATCAAGAAAAAATTCACAACACAATCGATCTATAGTGACCAATAGGCGGGGCAGCCTATATTTGCTCGAGACTAAACGGACAGAAAGGAGTTAACAAACCGTGTCCGGCGGTAGAGACGTCGTTGAAATGCGCGAAACTTTCACTCCGGGACTTCCCTTATCGACAGTCGTTGCAATTTTCAGTCGGCTATTATCGAAAGCAACGATGATGATCGAGACTGTCGATCGACCGCGTGTTCCGCGCTCGTTGATCATTCCCAGTCGACGACCTAGGAAACGGGTATTCCAAGCCGTTGCGTGCACAACTGTCCATAACGATGACGCGTCGGAATTAACGATCACAGATCAGGACTAATTGATGGACGTCTCGTTTATAGATTCGTTCGAATTAATCGAGGGAATTGCTTTAATCGTTACGTAGATTGAACGAAGTAACCCCCTGGAGATAACGCCTGGACAATAATCGTGTAGAACGATCCAGACGATAATCGAGACGAGTCTGTAGTATCACCCTAAAATAAACCATTGGTATTATTTTAATCTTTCAATCATATTTTCCAGCGACCATGTGGTGATCCACGTACCCTACAAGATCAAAACCGTCCACCACACGCACACGATCACCAAGCACATCCACCACGGTGGCGGAGGTGGCGACAAATACGAGGTTTTGGGCTACACTGTCGGCCATCCCATTGATTTAGGTCACGGTGGAGGTGGTGGTGGTGGTGGTCTGGGTGGAGGTGGCCACGATTTCGGCGGCGGTGGTCACGATTTCGGTGGCGGCGGTGACTTCGGCGGCGGCCATATTGAATACAGCAGCGGCGGCGGCGGTGGCGGTGGCGGCGGTGGCGGCCATATTGAATATGGCAGCAGCGGAGGAGGTGGCGGCGGTGACATTGGCGGAGGACACGGAGGATTCAGCGGTGGATTCGGCGGCGGAAGCTACGGGGGCGGCGGTGGAATCGGCGGAGGTGGTTTCGGCGGCGGACACGAAGATTGGGGTGGCCATTAGTGGATCCACGTTGGAGATGTAGGTGTAGGTCTCTTCGCGAAGTTCCGGTTGGTTGCTTGAAGCAGTTGAAGATTAACCAGGACTAACTTCATCCTTGGATCGATACACAGAAACTTCAGGCCTAGAGAATTTACTGGTGTTTGTATATTTTATTGGGGTGTACCAATGAGGAATTCGATATTCTCTTAACACTTTGATGAGTTATGTTTATGCAGTCTGGGCCTTTAAATTTCTTGAATTGGGTACACGTGATAGTTACTTAGAAGATCAGGACCATGATAAGTTTTAGTTTACGTAGATTCTATTTCGTCTTGACCCTTTAGAATCTTTATGAATTGTAATGAACGTGTGACTCTGGAATATTTTTGGTTATCTTGTGAAAGACGGACACTTCAGTAACGGCTGATAAAATTTTATACACTGTTGTATTCGATACAGATTTTCTGGAGAAATTACAGGAAAGAATCGTCGAGCTTCAAGTAAACCAACATGCACCCCCCTCGCACGACAATCGCAGCTTCGTCCTAGAGAAAATTGTATTAGAGAGATAGATAGTTTTATCACTTGTGACTGGCGTTTCCCGTGGAGTGCCGCAAAACCATACCCACCCATACACACACATCGACACATTTAATCACCCTGTTATCTCTTTACCTCTCGTCCTAGTCTCTCATTAATCCGTCGACACATCACTCGTACTCATATGTAAATATTGTTACTCGTTTTGTTTTGTCTTTTTTTTTTTTATTATTGTTACAAACCACTGTATTGTTGTCCTTATCGTACCGCGACTCCGAATAGTTCACTTGTATGTTTACCGTGTCGCGAGAAAGTTGAATAAATTGCGTGTGTACCTGAAACTCACCCCCTTGATACCCCGTTTGTATTATCTATTTATTTCCCCGTTACTATATGCGATCTATCGTGAACCATACGCTACGAATACTTCAATTTTTTATGAAAATTACTGATGAAATAATTGTTTTAATATTCTGTAGTTGAACTACGTACAATTAATTATTGGAGACTCTATTCAGATCGACTAACTGGGCTGAAAATTTATATTTTTCGTCGAGGTAACGATATATTCTAAAATGTTACTAAAATATGCTTCGTCGTTTGCAAAAATCGCTATCTGTACTATAGTTCCCATATTGTACACGTCTTTCGTTTGAACAACTCGTAGATAAACTGAATTTCAAATAACTACCACATTTTATAGTAATTGACGATCTTGGAAATTCTCTAGACGAGTTCAGAAATGAAAGATTGTTCCTTAAATCATGATCCAGTATTTTCTCATGAAATCTACATTCTTTTAACACAGCCATATCTGCCAAAAAACGCATTGAATGTATTGGCAATGCTTCCGTAAGTTTAGACAGTAAAACATAAATAATGTTTAAAGAAGAAAACAAAGAATCAGTAAAAACATAATCGCAATGAAATTTGCCCTTAAATCTAGTCCAACAGTTTTAGAACCGATTAATTTACACCGACTAATTACTGTCGTCGATAGTATCGAAATGTCTAACCAACGCATCGCAGATCGTAGGACCAAACACTGAAGCACCAAAGAAAATTCTACAGCATTTCTTCTAAAGACTATTTACAAAAATTACACATTCTCCGCAAAGTTTCCAAAAAAACTACAGTTTTCTGAATCGTCGACGCCTTCGACCTCTATCTCGCTTGTCCCTGGTGTTCTGATAGTCCACATCATCGACGAGATATCGTCCAGCGTCGGTTTTCCCATCGGAATTCTCTTTGAATCCATCGTTGTCGTTGTCCTCCTGTTCCTCGTGATGGTCATCGTGAAACTTATTCGATTGACCCGATCGAATGTGCCCACTCTCCGATTGCAAGCCCTTGCTGTACCCTTCTTCATAATTGTAGGAGATGACCTCCTTGTTTGGGGGTATATCATTCACGTCTTCGTGGACTGCGTACTGACCATGTCCACGGTTCTTCGTGTCCAAATTATTGACGTCGAGGTACAATTTTGGAGGATAGTTGTCTCTGTGATAGCCGTACATAGGGACGTGTTTTTTAGGGCCTTGGAGGTTCTGAGGATCCTCCATCTCTAACCTCTCTCGATCACTTTGATCCTCGTGGTCGTCGAATTGCTCGCCTTCCTCGTCTTTGTGGTCGTGATGGTGACCGTAACTGCTCCAGGAACTCCAGTTTTCGTGATGGTACTCTTTGTGGTGGGTCTTTGGCTTCTTTGGCTTGTGTACGTGCAGGAATACCACTTTGGTGTGGATGTGGTGCTTGATGATGTCTGGCACGAGGATTTTTAAGTGGACGCTGTAAGAGGGCATTGACATTGTTAGTAAACAATGAAATGTATGTTCAGGTAAGGGGAAATTGCGTACCTTCTTATTGTTCGATTGTTACTTATATATTGTCTTAAAGTCGTTGTAACAATATTAAATTTAATTTGGCACACATTAGTATTATTTATGTGAATACTGTTTTGATGATTTTTATATTTAATTCTTAGGGTAAGTGTACAGTTACGGTGAACATGGAATTTATTTTACTTCTGGGAAATTATTGATAATAAAGTAACTCCAATATACGAGAACGTCAAAAAAATCGTCAGGCAGGGAGTTCATGTTAGAAGTTATGTAGAAGTGAAAACGAGAGTGCATCGTGCGGTCGTTGATCGGTCGCCATTATCGACAGGGAAAGTATAAATGATGGGCGCATTTTTTGTTAATGTTGAATGATCAATGAATAGGCATAAATTCTGAAGACTTCTAGGACATTAATCATGTGTACACTCACTGTCTTTTATTAGCACTTCCGTGACTGGTGACTTCGATCAGTAAGATTACAAAGAAGTAATTGAAGATCGTCTGTAAAAGATGAATTACTGTAATTATTCGACTAACGAAATGGTACATATAGTTTCCTAAATTCTCGGAACATTATTCAAAATGAAGAATGCTTCGCTAATAAAACATTACCTAAATACACTACGTGAATACGTAAACCGAAAATTGAAGAATCATCGAAAGATGTGAGGAAGTTGATTTCTATTTTCCAAATAACAAATCAATCTAATATATATTAACAATTGAATAGACTAAATAGATATTTACTGTAATATTGAATTCTGAATTCCTCTAAAGGTTTCTGACCACTTTTAAATACGTCAACATGCAATTAATATAAAGTCTGCAATAAATTACGCAATATTTCAAAAGATTAAATTATTCTAATACAATATACTTCGTAATATTTTATTAACTTCATTCAATTTACCTTGAGCATGACTTCAAACAACGTTATTCCGAATGGCAAGAATGACAAGTGGCAGACGCTGCCGACAATAAAATGTCCGACATCCTCGAGGATGTTCCTCCTTTATATTCCGCCTCTGTTGTTGACCAGCTTACCGCTATCATATTAAATGTAATGGAACCACGGAACTGCGATCGAATCCCGCGGAATTTCACAGTTGACCGAGCAGCTTTCGCCGTTTCATTGAGACATGCTTCATTCGCCAATCCGCTTCGAACGAAATGCTCCGAAAAAACGTGTCGATGTGGTTTAACGAAGTTCATTGCCGCCCGGAAGTCGAAGCCTGTCGATCATCTTTGCACTTCCGATCAATTCGTCACGTTTCTGTGAGAAATTCAGGTACAATGACATTAATAATAATCTTTTGTTAACATCTACTCCTATGTTATATTGTTTATTTATTTTCTTTTAATAACAAGTGGGACAGTTATTGGAAATGTTTCAGGGATTGAGCATTTAATTAACTACTTAGATGTATCCTCGAATTCTTCACTAATGTTAAATTAACTCCTAATGTTTAGGATATTTTATTTGTTAAATAGAATGAAAGAAGTCGACTTTAATGTTTTGTGGTTGATCTATTAGCAGGATGTTCAAATACCAGGAATATTGTGCAAATGATGACAGTGTAAAAAAGTATTGCATAGTAATATTTATTAACTTAGTCCTTAATAATATATAATTCTAGTTACAATACTGTTCCATCGCGTTTGTACATTGTAATGACTAATGACTATCATTTCAGTGGTGGTTCACAACTACACGTTTAATAAATAGATCCGTGGATCCGTTTATCTAACTCTCGTATTTATCGTCCTCCTCCAGATCCTCGTGCTCGTCTTCGTGATGGTACTCATGTTGCGGTATAATTTTGTAAATCGTGTGCGTATGCTTCACCTTCTTCACTCTGTAGGGCACATGGATGATCACTTTTTTTCTATATTAAATAATAAACCAGCATTATTACATTTCTCTTGTGTCTTAGACATCAACAATAAAATCAACTTTTATGCTCACGATTCTGCAGGTTGCTGCAAGAGTACTAGAAACACCAGCAAGGCGATGCCAAACTACAAAAAAAAAAGTAATACAAACATTACACACAAATTGTCTATAAAAAGAAAGCGAAGAATCGTCTTTTTAGGATTTAATGATAATACCAATTCTTTTGTAAAGAAAAATCTAGAAGAGACCAGAAATAATAAAAATAATCTGTTTATAAATTTGTAATATTTCTGTGTATTCCATAGAAATTTTACAATAGAGTCTCGTACCAGAAATGTTCCCCTCATTCTGCGGAAAAAACGGATATGTATTCGTTTGTCACCGTTCGAACACGCGATTCTTGTTCCACCTCTGAAATACACTCGAGAAATGGACGCCTTCTGCGCGAACCAGCAACAAACCTTACGTTTATATACATGGAGTTGAAATTAGCGAGGCGAATCGTTTCGTAAATTCCACGAAACTCCCCGCCACCGCGCGAAGTACACATCTCGATCCTCCAGGCTGAACAACCACCTTTGTTCCACGATTAGCTTTTCACTTTTTTTGCTTTTCACCAAAACACCGCGTCTGCCCGGCGCTGATATGCACAGGAATTAGATTATGTCCGCGGCGAGCAGAACGGCGATTTGTATTTACAACGGACACCAAACGTATCGATAAGATCGAAGCACGATGTATCACTCGAAATGTTCACACGTTGATCGCAATCGTTGTTTATTCGATTTCTTTTCGTTATAAACCCCACCTTCAGTTTCCATTATTCTTTATCGTACAATCAAAGTTCACGGAAACACTTAAATTTACATAGAAGACCGTAGCCTCCACTTTTCCCAAAGAAATCGCAACGGTTTGTGGAATTTTTTAATTTTCCATTCTACTTTGTTATAACCAAAACTTGGACTGTTAATTAAGGACAGTGGAATAGGAAAGGTGAGCTGTAATACCAACCTTGGAAGGTCAACTAACGGTCCACTGACGAGAACTTGAAGAATTGTCTACGAGGATTATGAAAAATTGCGATAAATAATCTCATTTAATGGTTCCGATCATAGGAAAATTCCTGGCTAAGCGAAACGTTTCCAACTAGTCTGAAGTCGTCGAAGAACTGATGCATCCAGGAAACGGCAGAGGCGACTGCACCTGTACTTCCTCGAGGCGGGATGCACCCAACCGCGGATCAGGTGAACCAATTCATGGCACGTACCTACTCGCGCAATTAAGGGAGAGATCATCGAAGGTATACTTAAAAAGCAACACAGGGAACGCATAACGGATGCTTGTACCGGGTGATTCAAAAGCTGTTGCACAAAATTAATAAAGTCTAAGTTCTTTAAACTTCCATGAATGAAAATCGCCTCCAAACATCGAAAGATCAGTACTGAGCTGAAGAGAATAGTCTATTTTTTTAATAAGTATTTTAGTTTCTAAACGTTATACCTGAAGTAAATCAATATTTATAAGATGTATCAATAAGTAATTTACTATTTCTTTTTAATACATTGGTAACACAGTTTAAATCTAAACTACCTTTCTACCCGTTTCTTCTTTCAAAATGGCGGCGAACATTGAAAGAAGAGGACAAATATCTATTCTAGTTCCCTCTAAAATAAGTATTGAATTCGACAATATATACTAGTTTACACAATCGTACACTTAATATTTATATTGTGAACAATAGGTTCATAAGATGCATACTTATTTTCAATTTTACATACGTATTCACAAAGTTGTTGCCTACAAAGTAGCTGCTACTATGTGTCTTGCAAAGATGCTCGAATGTATTTGAACGTTTTCGTGCTGCCCCCAATTCTTATAATCCTTAAATAACACAGAATAACCCTTTTGAATCGCCCTGTACATTCGAACGTCACAGACAACCGGAGAAACATCTCTCTATCAGCGCAGAGAAAAACGATACGGCTCTCGAATCAAAACATAAATCCACGTTGGTTCGTTAAAACAGCGCCGCTAGTCACCTAGATAATTGACAGTTCAAACAAGCGAGATAATACCGGCCAATTTAAGTTGCTAATTGCCGGAAAATTAAATTTCCCGCGATTCTATAGAAATAGCCCCAGTTTTCTTCCATTCGTAATTGCGACGTCTCTCCTCGCGAACAATTTCCAACGAAATCGTACACCGTGTAATTTATGTTTCATAATAAAACTAACGTTTTCGTTTGTTTCGCCGTGATTAATATAATCGCTCATCAACTGGATAATTACTAATAATTATAAAACAGTCGACAAGTATGATGCTCATTTGCAATGTGTATTAGAAAAGCGATCGTTGTGTATTCAAATGTATCTGAAAATCTTCACTTTCTTTTAACGACTTAGGAAGAATCGTGAAACGGAGGCGGGCATTAAAAGTGAATTTATAAGCGATACCGTGATACGAACAGCGTATACCGATCGAAAAAAAAAAAAAAGGAAAAAAAAAACGAACCAACCGACACACGCTAACGAAGAAAGTGGTTTTAAGGGCTTGGATCCATCGACTGGCTCTCACATGAGTAATTCATCGATCAACCGTGCCCCAAACCAGGCAAAAACTAGTTCGCTTTCCATTATTAACTCGATCATTGGACTCGTCCGACTAGGCATACCTATAGCGATCGTGCTCGAGATTTTTCGACAATTATCCGTCATCGTTTGTACAAGCAAACGTTGTCAAGAATGTCGTCCAGTATGTGTACGTTTTTTCCACCGAAAACGTTTTACGCCGAACCACTTAATTAACAGTGGACGGTCAATTAACAGTGAAAATCACGCCGGTGAAATGGAAAGCGGAGGAGGAAAAAACCAGGCGGTATATCAGTACGCAACACGCAACAGATCGCCGCTGGTATAATCGTTGCAAGAGGATCCGAAACGGAGGAATCTTTTTTCTGCAATGGAAGCGGCGAATCGCAGACCGGCGTGACTGTTACGCCGATTATACACTCTTAACGATCGTCTTAATTTCACGGGCACAACGTTTATGGATGTCCGTGTAAACGCTGGAACAG